TAACTAAATTAATAATTATAATTTTAATAAATTATTAAATAATTTAGAACCTTTTGGAATAAAAGACCTGACCTGGGGTGGAGCTAGAATCTGCAACCTCTGCTTGCCATGCAGTGCAGTTGCCACCTGTTGTGCCATCCACAGACCTTGAGCAAGTCTTTGCTTCCAGAGGTATATTAATTTAGATATAACCTTACTTGGTTAAACATAGCACTGGCTGGGGACAACTCCTACACCCACGGCCTAAGAACATCTCTTCAATGGCACTCAGCCAGCTAACGTATTACCCAGTGAGATATATATATATATCTTATTGATATATATCAGACTTGCTCAAGGTCTGTGGATGGCACAACAGGTGGCAACTGCACTGCATGGCAAGCAGAGGTTGCAGATTCTAGCTCCACCCCAGGTCAGGTCTTTTATTCCAAAAGGTTCTAAATTATTTAATAATTTATTAAAATTATAATTATTAATTTAGTTAAGAGATGGTACCTAACACCTCCCTCTAGTGACAAATTACTTTATATTAATCTAATTTAGTTAGCCAAATTCTACCCTGATATTTCAGGTGATCATTAGTTATTTCATTATTGNCTCAATTACTGTTTCTTTATTAATACAAAACATTAATTGAAATCCAATTACCGATTCTAGAATATTTCAACGTTTACAGAGTTATACCACGGATAAATATATTACGGACAAATCGGAGATCAAAATATTTAAGAATATGAATGACTAAATAATAATTAAAATAAAATTGTAATAATTCTCATTGATCACACTCAAAAATTTATAAGGTTATATTTAAACTTAAAAACTAAATAAACAGAAAAATCAAAACCACTAAAATACAATAATGCTTACTATTTGCAGTGTTTAAAGCCCAAATTAGTGTCCAATCCTTTAGGATCTTTAATACTGATGACACCATTACCAAAATTCTGTTTGTAAATCTGCAAATTGTTAAAGAACCTAAGTCCTGCTGTTCCCAAATTTAAGTATCTACACTTCATTAAAAGAAAAAAAAAAACTACTTACATACTAAAATAAGTTCAAATCAATATTTACTTAAGCATCGCATTATGCAACACAATCAGCATTGTAATATTTCTCAAAGTTATCACTGATCAATGAACTGAATCCACCACTGATTGAAAGTATTTTAAGCATTCAAACTGTTTACGTTTAAATTTTGATATATATTTTGTATAATCCCATCAATTTTAATAAAAAAAAATCAAAACTAATAACCACTTAAAGTCAAATAATGATTTTTATATTTTCATGTACATTATATTGTAAAATAAAGTTGTTTTTACTAAATTTACAAGTTAAAAAACTCATAAAAGTAATACAGGCCATCTAGACTTAATTTGTATCATAGCATCAAACTTCCAAAACAAATCTGATGTGTGAAAATATTCAGATAAAATCGCATTTATTCTTTTTATACAATACTTGATTTTGAAAACTAAAATATAAACTTCCAAAAATCAAAACTTAAGCATGAATTTTGCTGACACACGTGCAACAAATAACTAGTGACTGACAGTATACATTGTATATCAGTCTCTCTCAGTCGCATACATTCACAAGTAGTAACACACAAATTTTACATGACCACTCTACGAAGTGTCAGACTATAGAGACACTACTGTACTTGAGAAATAGGAACCAGATAAACAATTATTTTATTTTATCACTAGTTATATAAATACTGTATTGCCTTAATTGTAAGACAATTTTTTTACCCAATTTTACTTGTCCTAAATATATATACATTCTTTAACATCAACAGTGTCTTAAATTCACAATACAAAACGACAATTAGTCATCATTGCAAGTAGGCCATGTATATCAACGGTAAATATTTTTGGTTATACTACTCAATGATCACACCAATTCAAATGAGCTTTGTTGGTAGTAAATATTTAGTTTAGATTTAAAACAGCTTCAAGCAACATTATGATGCAACTTTAAAAGAAAAGTTGTCGTTTATACAAAAGTGCGTGGAAATAGAAATGTTTCATGGCATTTGTATGGTTTTCCTAACTTCTTGTTACTTAATAAAACTTGTAATAAAAGCAATTAAAATTTTTTTCCTCCCATAAAAAATCTTAAAATTGAAAAAATGTAGTAAATTTCAAAGATAAAAATCGAATATTCTCTTTTTTTTTGTTGTTGTTTCTATAGATATATAATTTGAAAATTAATAATTTTAAAATGAAAAGTGTTCATTTGAAGCGCATTATAAAATAGTAAAAAGCAAAAATCACTCTATCTTATAAGCAGAATCATCAACAAAAGTTGAGCTTAAAAATGACCTGAAAACATTTTGCCCATAAAAATATTGGAAAAATATATTTAATCTACATATTCTCTAAACAAATGAATATTACAAAATAAGTGAGAGAGATACCAAGTAAGAAATCAGCTAACAATTTTTTGAATTCTGACTAAAACATCAATGATGATACATATTGTTGGCATTCTTTTATTATTATTTAAACACAAACATTTATATATGTACTAAATAGAATAAAAAAATAATACAAATGCTTCATTAATTCATAATAATCTGAAATTAAATCTAAAAACAATTTTCAAAATTAAAATATTTAAAAAAAAGACCAAAACGTTATTAAAAGTATAACTGTTAAAAAATCTTTGATGCTAAAACATAAGGAAGGAAACTTATGTGTATTAATTTGATTTTATATTAATTCATAAAATCAAAATATATATTTTTAGATGTAAAACTTATATAATCAAAATTGATTTTGTAATTCTTCAATCAAAAATTAACCCAAAATTTGTTGTTACAAAATTTTATTTGTAAAATTGCCTATTATTATTTATTTTTTTTAGATCTAAACAAATTTTATCTGTAATTTGTTTTTTTTAAATTTATAACATATAATATACAGGGTGTCCAAAAAGTCCTGCACTATAGGAGAAACATATGGATGACAATGCTTTATATATTTATCCTCATTTTTATTTGCAGATGAATCATTTTGACACTATGGATTATGCTGAGATTATTTTACTCTGCCTACAAGAGAGCTTATCATAGAATAGGCGGTTGATAAATTCAATAAATGTTATCCCAACAGACAGGTGTAGTAAAGCCCAAATGCATGATTGCTAAGCAAATTCAAGACAATGGAATTGGCTACTGAGTTCTTTCAATCTGAATGTCCAGGCACCTCATTAGTGGTCTGTGAAACCATCTTGGCAAAGCCTTGTCAATGCCAGTCCAAAGTACTTAAAGTGCATAAATTTGGAACTGAATATACATATCTCTTTGGTATGTTCAGTTTGAAACTTAACCAGTTAATCAGTCTGAAATAGAAATTTCATTCATATAAGCTACATTTTCTCTAGTGTTTAACTGATGATGATCCTTACCATGAGATGAAAATATGTAAATGGTTCTTTGAGCATTTATATCCTTAATAATGTACTATTCTCCACTGAAGCAAAGTTTTATGTGAATAGAGAAGTTAACAACAGAATTCCAATTCAGGTCACATGAGAACCCACACTGATACTCATGAAACATTGAACAAGGACAGCAGAGAAAACCATGATACAATGCAATTTAAAATGGCACACATTGAACTATTATATATACAGTATAATAAACATCTTAAAGCCCAATGAGTATATAATGAAATAACCAACAATCACCTGAAATATCAGGGTAGAATTTGGCTAACTAAATTAGATTAATATAAAGTAATTTGTCACTAGAGGGAGGTGTTAGGTACCATCTCTTAACTAAATTAATAATTATAATTTTAATAAATTATTAAATAATTTAGAACCTTTTGGAATAAAAGACCTGACCTGGGGTGGAGCTAGAATCTGCAACCTCTGCTTGCCATGCAGTGCAGTTGCCACCTGTTGTGCCATCCACAGACCTTGAGCAAGTCTTTGCTTCCAGAGGTATATTAATTTAGATATAACCTTACTTGGTTAAACATAGCACTGGCTGGGGACAACTCCTACACCCACGGCCTAAGAACATCTCTTCAATGGCACTCAGCCAGCTAACGTATTACCCAGTGAGATATATATATATATATATATATATCTATACCCAGTGTTACCCAGTGAGATATATATATATATATATCTATACCCAGTGTTACCCAGTGAGATATATATATATATCTTATTGATATATATCAGACTTGCTCAAGGTCTGTGGATGGCACAACAGGTGGCAACTGCACTGCATGGCAAGCAGAGGTTGCAGATTCTAGCTCCACCCCAGGTCAGGTCTTTTATTCCAAAAGGTTCTAAATTATTTAATAATTTATTAAAATTATAATTATTAATTTAGTTAAGAGATGGTACCTAACACCTCCCTCTAGTGACAAATTACTTTATATTAATCTAATTTAGTTAGCCAAATTCTACCCTGATATTTCAGGTGATCATTAGTTATTTCATTATTGGACTATTCTTTTCTGATTCAGTGAGGTTAAAATTTTAGAGGTGAAACATACTTGACAATAATGAAACATCAGCTTATACCTAAGTTGGACCTAATGGAGAAGTGACAAAGATAGTTCATGCAGAATGATGCTCCACTACATTGGTGCAATAACTTTCCCAATAGGTGGATCAGCTGCAAATAACCCAAACAGTGGGATCCTACAATTTCCAACTTAATTCTACTTGACTTTGTTATCTTAAGTCACAGATATACTTAGTGGAGATTCATGACCTCACCCATCTATGAAAAAACAGACTGAAGAAGAGTGCCATCTCATTGACACTAATACTACTATAGAGTTATAACTAATATGGAAGTTCCATATACTGAACAAATTTTGTAAACTCACTTGTAATACAGGACTTTTCAGACACAATGTATTATATATTTATATTATTATTCAATCAAGACTTTATATTTTTTGAACAACAGATAATTAAAACTAACTAGTGATTCTAATTTCAATCTTATAATTTAATAAACTTACCTGATAATCAGCTAAAAGTTCTGGACCCTTAAAATACCGAGATGCAACTCTAACATTATATTCTTGTCCAGGATGATAAAATTCTGCTAAACCCCAATCAATAAGTCTCAACTGAAATAATTTAGTCACAATGAATTATTTTGGCTTAATTTCATTAAAGTAACAAGTTTATAAACATATGTGATTAGCATAAACTTATCATTGTGTAGTAAACACTTTTATATTACAATATCAATAATCAATGACAACTTTTATAACAATTTTCTAAACAAAAGATCTGAATCCAAATTAAAAATTCTACTTTAAACAACAAATTATTATCCGATATAAAAGAGGTATTGTAATTCCACTTTCCCACTACAGAAATTAACACTTTACTGTGTCAATGATAAATAAATCTAAGACAACACTTTTCCAAATACAGATAAATGGATTAGGGATTATGTGAATTCTGTTCATGTTCATTTGTACAGATAAGAAGTTTTCAGTTTTATTCACTGTTTCCTTATTTATATAAATATCTGCTTATCCTTCAGTTATTCAGATAATTATCAAAGTATTACACTTAATTTGAATTAATTTAATTACTGAATATAATGTCCAGTTAATTTTTAATTTTAACTTCAGAACAATTTTAAAACTGACTTCTTGGTTGATGTTTCTTGCAGTAAAGTAAATGATAAGTTATCATCTCCATCTAACTTAAATTTGATATTATTTATATTTACTTAGTTTATCATAAAGCAAATTAAACTTATCACATTAACACAGTAAATTCAATAGTATAAAATTATTGTTGTTTAGTTCATTTATCACTAAAATTTTAACTTATTTATTATTTATATCTTATTCTTATCACTAAAATGCAATTAGCTAAATATGAAGAAACTAAATTGTCTCCAAACTTTATTATGAAGCATATTGCCAATAAAAGATAAGTTAATTAACAAAACAGATGATCAAATAAGGTATTTACTTGACAATTCTATAATAATGTTCTTATTCCTTTGTGTAGTAATATTCTACTGATTAATTTAATCTGCATCAAGATCACATCAATAATCCAACAAATTAATATGAACTCCTAGCATTCGACTTTGCAAAACAGATATATTCTTAACCTGCAATCACATGCAGTTCCCCTCCCAGAATCGCAGGTGGTGATTTCACACTGATTTTTCACACATAAGTATGCAACACAATTTAATGATACTAAAAAATCCTGTAATGTGTTGTCCTTGCAGGTGCCAAATTTCAATATTATACATTATTTAGTTTACGAGATATTGTTTGCAGATTTTGTTTACAGAACAATGACATTGACAGAGCTCCCTTAAAACTATAACAGCATAAACCAACGAAAAACAAATTCAGGAAATAAATGATGAGACGGCCAAGGTGTTTCTCAGAAGTACAGTACGAAAAATTATTTTTTCTGTATTTTTTTAAATCATAAAATAAAGTCATGAAAACATTTACATTATTGAAAGTCAGAATACTTCAGATTATCTTAAAGAAACAAACACTGAAGGTCACAGCTACTTCCAGACACACATCATTACCTCATTCATACCTGACAAATATCCATGTCATTTCTACCTCTTGCAGCAGTCATGGCATCAATACAAAAAAATTGCACACAATCACGCGTGTAAAGCTGCAATTTTCTGCAGTGATTTTTTGAGGGCCTGTGATAGTGATAAAATTTTTCAACTGAATTTTTAGTTAGTTGGATAGAATGAAGCATGAGAATATCATGGAAGCACAGCTAGTAACTCAATTTGATGAAAATGCCTGTGAAAAAACTATATGCCTAGAAAAATCACTACTACTGTTTGTGATTGCAAGTTAAAGATTATTACATAATCTATCTACTTTTTATAAAATTCAAACTAGTATCTACTGCATCACAAATTAATGAAATCAAATTAAATAGTGACAAAATGAAATACTTACCTTTCTATTTTCATGATCAATCATTACATTATGAGGTTTTACATCTCTATGCATTATTCCCATACTATGACTATAATCTAATGCCTAAATAACATTAAAACATTTTTATTAAACATTAAGTTAATTTGAAAATGTAAATAATTAGTTTATGTTAATTTTATTATTTAAAAATATTAACCAAAAATAAATACCTTTAATAATTCGTAGAGATAGAACCTAATATCATAATCTGTCAAAGTTTGATATAATTGCTGGGAAAAAATTATAAATATAACAATTATTTTAAGTATATGAAAATTTTATTTAAAGTATTAAAATAATATTTTGTAATTCTTTATGTTCAACAATTTCATACATATTATAGGTATGTAAATATAACAATATCCATTTATCACTGTCTAATTAAATATTTCACAGAAAAAAAAATGAAGAATAAACATGCAATTTTATAAAATTAAAAAAATTATAAACTGCACTATATTTGTAATGAATGATGAGAAACATAAAAGTTAAGTTACATCCATCCTGAAAATTACTTATAATGTTTATATAATAAAAGTCATAAAACATTATTAATTCTAAAAAATTGATTTATATATGCTTTGGCTTGAAAAACTTGTAGCAAGATTAAAAAAATTGTTCTATAAATCATGGTTCTTTGTGGTCAAAATGGAATGCCAAAATTCTGAATTATATATGTATTTAACAGGAATGGCTAGTGAAAAGACTGCATCCTAATTAACATCTATCTAACTCTGTTCTTGAGATTAATAAAAGACAGATAGACAGACAACAGTGAGAATTTATAGGTCTACAATTTTTTCAAATTGCAGCCCAATTATAAATTAAATCAAATCAATTGAAACGTAATATTTCAAAAAGTATGAATAAAGTACTTGTCAGTCTTGCTTGATTTGGTTATTTCCATTCAGGCAGTCAAAATTTAGTCTCTATTTATAACAATTCTTAAAAGTAAAGTTTTAGTTTTTGTTGGTGGAGACAGAACATTTTGCTTTTAATATGTAAAATATATAGAATATAGAGTATATATAGATAAAAGTGTACAAAGCACAAAGTAAAATTAGTGTGTTCTTGTTTCAAGCCAATCAATGGTAGGAATAATCTGGAAAAATTGAAATGGCATGTTAAACAATCATAAAAGGCAGATTTGTACAGTTTTTACATGCAGGGATATGTAAAATTGCGTCCAGGGAATTGAAAAAAACTGGAAAAAATTCCATCATCTAATAAGTTGGCATATTCAATAACCTGGCATCGTCGGGATCGACATGGTGCCAGGTTAACAGAATGTCAGTGTATACATATAAAATGAAATAAATGAAAAGCAAAGTTCAAATGTTCCGTATTAAATTTAATAATTATAAATAATTAATTTTTAGTTTAGACATTTCTAAAATTTAATTTGGAATCAGTCATTAAATTTAATATGAGATGGCAGCATAACTGCCAACCTCTAGTCAAATTATTTAATTTCTGATATTTAATTATAGCTTTTACGTACCCCAAGAATTTGGCATATAGTTTGGCATGTTTATTATATAATGGGCTATGGTTGTTGATGTTTATATGTAATATGTGTAAACAAGTTTGAAAAATGTGCGATCACAACAACACTAAGGTGCTAGTGGAACCACCAAAACATTCCCTCTCCTTGTCACTCATTATGCAAGTCATTTTTTACAATTTGTTTGCTTGTTACGCGAGGTTCCACTGTACTACTTTCTTTGTTTGCTCTGACTTGTAGCAGTCCGATTAGGTTTATTTATTGCATAGACATTGATATTGTTTATCTCATGATTCTAACTTTTCTAATGTTATATAGACTTTATTAAATCTATAATCTTAATAGTCACATAATCTTGTAAAAATAACACTACTACTGGTATTTGACTCACAAGCCACACTTTAGCCATTACTGATTTATATTTTATGTGAGTTACTACTTTAAGATTCAAACAACCATATTTGTCTGACAAAATCCCTAAAATTATTTTTTAAATACAGTCGACCCCCCTATAATTACGGTCCCTATAATTACGATTCCTATAAAACTACGAAAAAATATACATATTTTGGAAATGTTGAGTCGGATTAGTGTAGAATCTATTAATTTTATGGAAGAAAACCTTTCAATCAGCCGTAGTCCGTAAACTTGACACGTGTCGGGCTGTGATTGGAACGACTTGTAAGAAATCGGATTCCTAATAAATTGGAACGTATCTATATCTTATAGGGGGGGGTCGACTGTATTTTTAAGTGCAGTTTGTTATGAAATAATTAAAGATCACTTACATACCTTGAAGTCTGTATTATTCACATGTTCAAATATTAATGCTGGTGTCCGAGACTGAAAATAAATTATTAAAAATAGAAATTTATTAAATTTCACATTTATGTTAAAATGAAGCCTTTAAAAAATATACTTCTTTTCAAATTATATAATCTTAGATTATTATTTTAAAAATAAATTTTTACTTTAAGAGAGTAATCATAGAAAACTAATTCTGCAATATGTAGTATGTTAACAGTACATCTGTTACACAAATGAGACTAATAATTATGTGCGTTATGACACGGACTTTATCAATACTTTAGCAATTTCATAGACTTGAGGAAATATGTTTCAAAAAAAATACAATCCTGCACATTTACAGTACAAAATTAAAACTGTATTATTATTTACAAAGTCAAATTCAAAATAGATAAATAAGATTTTGTATATTTTATAATGCTATCGTTAAATATTTACATAGAATACAGGAAGACCTGTCCAAAATAGAACCTGAATAAAACAAGAAATTTTAAAGAACAGAACAATTTTTTATGTTAAAACCCATCCAACATGAAAACAGATGAGCTTTTTTGTTATGAAGAATATAATTTGATCTGGATAAAGTGGAAAATTACAATTCCATTCAGACAAATAAGTAAATTGTCTCCAGGTGTAAAACAGTCATTCCTTCAAACCTTTTCAGAGATGAAAATGAAAATCGTGACAAGGGGATGGACATAAGAATTTGGCGAGATTAAACAAGAGTAGAATCAAATATTTTTAAGAATTGAGAACTTTCAACAGAGTCCTTAGTAACTAACTAGTATGAAGTATTCAAAAACAAAAGTTGATTAGCATTATTGGTAATTATCTGATTGAAGTAAACAATTAATATTGATACATTAAAATTCCTTATGCCAGACCATAGAATAATTCTGTTTATGTGTTAATGTAACCAAACACTAAGACTCTTCTCTGATGGCAGAGAAAGATGCAAGTTTTTGATAGTTGAATTGACTTATTCACTCATAAGAATTGCATCAGAGGAGTATCCAAACACTTATCATGTTTTTATGGGAACAATGAAAACTTTTTGTGATCAAATAGTTCTCAATTCTTGCATTTGAATAATTCCATCTTTAGTCTGAATCACTTTGAATTAAACCTAGTAATGAAACTTTTTAAATTATGTTAAAGTAATTTATTTAAAAAAAAAATAAATGTAACTATGTGAAATATATCTGGCCTATTCAAAGTTTGAAAAAAGTATTAAAACATAGGAAATAATTTGGTACTCAGCAATTCTGATTTATACAGGTTTTACCATTTTATATTGTTGTAAAACTACAGCTAACATACTACATAATATTTTGAAAATTCAAATTTTGTTCATTTACCAATATCTCCATTAAGCAAAATGCGAAATTAAAAATAAAAAGGTCTGCACTTATTCTTTTAATTCATTTTTTAAATCTAACATTCAATACATTCAAGAAAGAATTTCATTATGTTTTATCGCCTTTGTTTATAAAGAATTTTGATTTCACAATATAATTTCTTATGCTATTCACTAGATAAGAAATTTCTCGAAAATGTAAAAAAAGAAATTTGTGGTATTAATGTAACGTTTACAAGAATTATATTTTTTAATAGAATTTAAACAAACTATAAATGAAGAAACTTTACTTAATGTCCATAAGTTTAGATAATTCAAACTAATTAAAAGATAAGTTTAGTCAATTTTAATTGTGTTTAAGTATTTAAATTATTCATATGACCAGTTATTAAAAGGTGGATGGAAATAATGGCATATTCAAAATTTTTAAAAAATGTCTCAACAATGAAAAATTTATTTACAACAGCTTTGTTCCTTCATACAAGCTTAAAGGAAAAATAATTTTTATTTCTCATAAAATATTCGTTTGAGGAACTTACTTAACATTAATAATATACTAGCTGTTTTTACTAACCACTGGATCTTTAACTACAGCTTGTAGGGAAATAATATTCGGACCACCTCGAAGATTTTCCAATATTTTTATCTCTCTTTTAATCTTCTTTTTCTTTACTGGCTGAAAGAAAATAAGACAGAAAAAATATTTATTACATATATAACTTCAACAATAAATAAGTATTTTAATTAATCACTAATTTACAGATAATTGATAAATTATATCATTCTGACATGTCAATTCTCAATAATAAATACAGGTAACCCCTGTATAACACGGCACTTCTATAGCACGGATTCGCTCTGACACGGTTCAAGAATTGGTACCATCCCCCGTATAACACGGTACTTTTATAGCACGGATTCACTCTGACACGGTTCGAGAATTGGGTAAAACCCTCGTACAACAGAAAATGTAATAAATTTTTACATACTTAACTAATAATAGTTCACAAAAATTATTATTTTCGTGAACCAGTAGTATTTAAGTATGTAAATTTTCTCTTCTCGCTTTCTGTTGATACACGTGGTCCTTCTCGAAACTTGTTTCAGTGTTGCCAGATCGCGACGCTTCTGCTTCTGATGTTGCCGAATGTTTTTTCCTTATTCCATACTTGCTTCATTCTTCATAAGTGCTTAGCACCATATAAGGAAATTTATAAAGACCTTTTAACTAGAAGCAAGCAATCTAAAATTACATACATTTTGCAAAAGGTAAAGCATGGATCTGAAGATAATGCAGAAAAATGCTCAGAGGATAAGGATAACTTGCCAAAAAGAAAACGCTCTCGGTTAATTAATAGTGTTTTTAGTGATGACGAAGAAAACATTGTTTAATTTATATTAATATGTATCAATTTAAAAAATTTTAATGAAGATATTTATCTTAATTATGAAAATATACTAGCATGTTTTTTAATTTTTGGAACCTAACCCTCCTTTTCGTATTAGTTCTTTGTTTCGTATAACACGGATTCGCATAACACGGCAAGTTTTTGTAACGTAACTACCGTGTTATACGGGAGTTACCTGTATTTATCTTCAAATTTAAAAACCTTAAGATATATATAAATATATAAATCTGAGAATAAAGGCTTGTGAAAGCATCACAGTGGAACCTCACTTAATGAGCATAATTTGTTTCAGAATCTTACTCGTAATGTAAAACAATTTTTCCCATATAAATTAATGTAATATATGATAATGCATTCCATGACAAAAAAAAAATTTTAATTATTTATTTTATGTATAATGTTTATTCAGAGAAAATTATACAATATGCATTGTTAAGGAGCATGAATCATCATCATCTTTTCTTCTAGAGTGGAATGAACCAACCTGTAATGTGAATTTGATTTGCAGGGGGGGGGAAATATATATATATATCTCAAACAGCCAAACAATATGCCAAATTTTTGGGCTACATAAAGGCTATAATTAAATATTAAAAACTAATTAATTTGACTACAGGTAGGCAGTTATGCTACCATCTCATATTAAATTTAATAATTATAAATAATCAATTTTAATTTAGATGTTTCTAAAATTTAATTTGGAATCAGTCATTAAATTTAATACAAGATGGCAGCATAACTGCTTACCTCTAGTCAAATTAATCAATTTCTAATATTTAATTATAGCCTTTACATAGCCCAAGAATTTGGCATATCATTTGGCTTGTTTATTATATAACGGGCTATGGCTGTTAATGTTTATATGTAATATATCCGAACAGAAGTTTGGAAAAATGTGTGATCACAAGTGACACTAAGATGCTAGCGGAACGAGTGCTGAAAACAGACTGATGTAGCATGCGCACAATCCAGGACTTCTTCCTCGCCTCGTCACTTGTTATGTGAAATGTCACTTGTTAAGCAAGTCATTTTTTACAATATGTTTTGCTTGTTATGCGAATTACTCATTATGAGAGGTGCTCGTTAAGCAAGGTTCCACTGTATATACTAACAGAAAATTATGCAAGAATTACAACATAAATACTGAATAAACAATTATTCTTTTAAATAGAGAAAAAATGTTTAATGCTCTTGGGTATTCAGTAATAAAATATAAACAACAACAAACACCAAATACTAATAATAAAATTAAGTAACACAATTGTAATGGGGTTACGGAAAAAATGATGATGTACTGCTGGCATGGGAAGGCTCTAATGAAGAGTTACTAAAGTTTATACAATCACATTAGCCATCTTCCAGACTATTTCATTTACTAAAGAGGATGAGAAAGATAAAAATATTTCTTTCTTGGATCTACTTGTACACAGATCCCCTAATGGACTTTCTTTTTCTATCTTTAACAAGTTTGGTGAATCACCATACATCAATCCCTTCCACTGCTTCCAACCCCTCCCGGTATAAAAATTTGGCTATTACAGTGCTTTTATGCAGGACTTTCTTATACCCTTCCACCCAACTACTTGTGGATGAGGAGCTTTTTGTTAAATTGACAGTTTGCAGTGCTGGATATTCTCTCACTAAGTTTAACCATCTAATTAACCAGAGTCAAAAGCGCATTACTTCCACAATCCACTTTGTATCGTACGAAAAAATTGATCTTTAGGTTTACTTAAAAACGTCCAACAAAAATAAAAATGGAAGAAAGCATAAACTTGATAAAGAAAAGCAAAAGTTTCAAGACAAATGGTCTATTTTATATTTTGTAATAAAGCAAAACAATCAAATTATGTGTCTTATATGCCGACAGAACATATCAGTTTTAAAGAAATATAATTCCCTTAAAACTGATGTACTTATATCATCTTAACTGATTTTTATAAAAGACTATCTTTGCAGGATTTTCCAAATTATGCAAACATGTGCAACAAATGTTTTTGTGTTTGGAAGCACTAGTGTGTGTAAAAAAACTTTTTCAATTATATGTATCAATGAATCCAAATTAAGATCAAAATTAACTGATGATCACTTATAATCTGTGTTACAAATACATTCAATCAACTTAAAACCAAGATTCAACAAAACTGTTACAAGAAGAAAACTGCACAAGTCGCACACTTCAGTTTCAGGAATTTAATTTTTTTCATTTGAAATGTTTTAAGTTTATTTTTGTTTTATTACTTTTGGAATTTGTTAAGAAATAACTTGTAAGAAAAATGAGTTATTGTCATAAATAAAAAAGTATTATTCCATGAAATTAGTATATGTAATTTTTCTTTCCTCGTGTCTTATTTCCTTTTTTAGACCACTAAATTCTTTGGAGTTTACAATTTGTCCCGCTTGGTCAAAATATTGAGACAAAGTTCACTCTAATTTCAGCACTGGAGTAAAATCCTGACTTCCCTAAACCTGTTACCGGTGCGCAACGCGTATAAGATATATACAGCGGATGAAACATTTTCGAACTGTCTCGCAAAAGAAAAAAAAAAATATTGAGAACCCCTGCACTAGAGTATAATTTATTACATTATATAAATTAGAAGTTTTTTCCTAAGAAGTCATAATTTCAAATCTAAGATAAAGCATATATTCAAAATATGAAAAAATTGGTGAAAATTAAATATTTTTTAAAGCATAAATAAATTAAAAGAATTTTTTTGTTTATGTTTTGTTTGGGTACATAACAGAACAAATGATTTGGTTGAATTTGACTTAAATAATAATTATAAAAGTTATTTATTTATTGCTTTCATTATACACAAAAAATATAAAAGTTTAATTCTTACCTTTAATATTTTTACTACACATTTCTCATTGTTGGTAATATTGACTGCTTCAAAGACCTCACTGTATTTTCCACGCCCCAATTTTCTCACAAGCTGATAATCATCTTGATTGCTATCAGAATTATATTACCATTAAGTTTTATTCTCATAATCTCTATTAAATAATTTGCTATTATTGTTATCACTTATCAAGTACCAAAAGAATATTTAACAAAAAAAAATTTAACCTGTATTAATTTTGTGTCATGTTACAATTTCTTTTAGATTGCTTCTTTATTTTTCTTTTATAGATTTACTATTAGAATCTATATATACATATAAAGTCAAACTTCATATTTTATATAACAAAATTTGAAATTCATTAGAACCTAATGCCTACCTACAGTACAAAATTATTTAGAATTTAATTAAAAATAATAGTGATTAAGTAGCCTGGTTTAATCCGGCAATCGTTTGGCATATTACTAAAAATATTGGGATTTGGGATGTTTAATCGATACAATACAAGATGAAAATAAAGATTGTTTGTTCCTCTGAATAAGTTTTTTTCCTCGGTTGCAAAAACCAAAACACCAGTGCAATACGTCCTTTTAATAAGCTTAGTCCTCGTAGAAAAACATTCAACGAAAATAATATATTTGATGTTTTAAAAGCCAAATTAAAATATTCAAAAAGATTAAGTCTTATAGACCAGTTTGTCCTTCACAAATATCAAAATATAGATGTACAAGAATTAACATTCTTTTATACTTAAATTCAATTTATGGATATGAAAAGAATAAACGTTTTTACTTTATATCAGTAACAACTGATAACAACATATAAAATAAAAAATAACAAGCATTATGTCAATATTCTTATACTATTTATATAAACAAGTTTTTATAGATTTTTGAATTTTACTATAATTTATTATATTATATAGTGGGCACATTACAACACTGATTCATATCAGAGATCCCATCTTATTGTAAAAATATAACAATGTAAAACCAAATAAATATACTTTTTAAAATTTGCCCACTCAAACTTGAAAGTAGAAATGTTGACTCATATATAGTTATTCCCTCTCTAAAAAGGGAAATGCACATTTTATATAGAATATTAAAATAAATAGAAAAACAGGATAAAAACTTAAAAACAAAAACAATAAAAATACTGATTTCTATCATCATCATTTTTTTTTTTTTTTTATAAATATCAAAATGTTTAAAAAAGGCAAGTACAGATTATTCAAAAATGCTTGCATTTGCATCACTAATTGACATATCTATCATACTCGCTTATATCTGCAGCAATCATGATACCACTAGAAGTCCATAAAATAAAGTTTACAGTACAATGAACCTTATTTTATTATGGAGATTCCATTGCACAGTGATTTAATTTTATATTAAACTATAGTCTGTCTATAGAAAGAATCAATTTGGGTATTAGCCATTGATCACTTAGTTGTGGCAAGTTACTTCCAGTTTCTTCCTCATCTGTTAAGCACATCACCGTCATATAAACAGTGTTACGAGAGCTTCAAGTTCTGGTATTGAATACTAGGAAGTTTATTATAGTAGTTGTTAGATTCATGATTCTTTACAGTTAATATATGCCATAAAAAAAATTAATACAATTAACAGAAAAGTCATTCTGCCATCTAGTGAGAGAAAATAAAGTAAAATTCACACGTTGTCTGACATATTAAGTGAAAAGTGCTGATTGGTGATATCACGTGTGACGTTGATCTCATGTCAATTCTTTCCATAGATAGACAATAATCATGAACTATACACAATACTACATAAAACATATAATAAATAGCTCTATATTTTTTTTAAATCAAATACCGTATACATAAAATTTTCAGTTTTCACAAAGAAACTTCATTAACTTATGGTAAACAAATTTAATTATTAAGAATTTAATAATTCAGAATTGCTTAATAAATTCTATTAATTTTCTATTTCTTCAACAGATACAATGTTAACTGAAACAATATAATTTAATTATATAATTATTTTATTACAAAATAAATAAATATATTATTTAAAAATCTATAATAAAAACAAACTGTTAAGAAACTTATTTACATTATAAATCAGATGATTCATATTACAAAAATATTAATAAGTCCAATAAATTTTAAAATAAATGCATTGACTTACCCCCATTCGACAACATGTGATTCGTAATCCCAATATTCTCGTGGCCTATGTGAATTAACATCTGCATATACTCTTGCTCGACTAGGTAATGGCATATTACCAAATATATATGCTGATATATGGAATTGATTTAGATATAATATTGAACTTCAAAACTTGACAGGTTGTATCTGAAATATTAATATTACTATTATTATTGTTTTCAGTCAACAAATTGTATATTTTAGTTAGAACTTAATTTGTACTTAACTTTTAAGAAATAAAATTATACTTGTATTGAAAACTATTTTAATTGAGATGCATTATTACAATATAAATTTGCAAGATAAATTTATCATTTTAATGAGAGATGCAATAATATTTGCATTTTAAAGTATTCAAAATTTTAATGAAGTCTAAATTTCCAAATTTTTTTGCACTATTTCAGTTAAAAATAAACTGATTAAACACTCACTGACAAAGTTAAAAACCAAGAACAAGACGCTGGAATCAAATAAACTATGCAAATGTAATGACAATGATAATAAACAATTACACAGCAGTAGAACAAAGGGATAATTTCCTATGGAACAATGGTATAATTTAAAGAAAGCTTTAGTATTGTGAAAGACATTTTCTTGCTGGATACTTGCAGTGATAGAGTCAACCCAGAAGGCATATAGCCATTGTATGTTATCCTGCAGATTTGCCAATAAATGTGGCAACTGCCACTCCCTATCCCTCACACTCAGATGGACAAAGCTACTGCCTCATCAAGTCCAACAAATGCTCAATGGCAATAAATCTGGAGACTGGATAGGCTAAGACAGTGTGGCAATGTAACAGACATTATTGAGAAATCCTAGCTGTGTGATCAAGCATTATCTTGTTAGAAAATGGTTGTTTTCAGACCTGCCTTGAAAAGCAATACACAAAGGTGCAGATGCATAACATTTTTGTCGACGAATATAGTAATTAGATATTAATTTTAAAATTAATCATTTAAAAAATGTCAGAAGAAAAGTTCAATTCAAAGTGGAAAAACTGCTAATCAAAAAAGTTACATCATCAGTTATAATTTATTTTTCAGTTCTTTGCTCTGATCGCCACTTCTAAATAATATATACTATTTAGGGCACTTCATATATGTATTTCACTGTATTTACAAAGAAAGCAGTGACTTCCAATTTTAGTTTTTTTATTCTGCCCTGTGAGCATTAAGAGTGTCTCTTTAATTCTAAGCTCTGAAACTTTCTTCTTTCTAGATACCTGGACATGAAATTGTCTTTACCCTTCTGGCTACTGGAGGAATTGGTATAGCAAAACCAAACAACTTTTCCTTCAGACAATTTTGTCTTGTCTTGGGTTAATACTTATAGTTTACATCAATTATTATTAAAAATGGTCATTTTTTTTATTAATATAAGCCAATTTTAAAGCTTTTTGTAAAGTAACTCAATGAACACCACCCTGTTTTAAGGTTAACAGAACTGTAAACAAAGCATATTCTCCAGCTGTCAAATGGCCAAAAAAAAGTGCATGTCCTCATAAGCAAGAGTTTAAGCATCAATCTTTGTGTTACTTTAGTGGATAAAAATTAGATTATTTATAATATGAAAATTATATTANATAAAACAAATATAATTAAAATTATAATTTCTTAAATATTTAGAATTATTCATTATTCCAAAAAATGACGATAAGTTTTAATGAACATATTATTAACCTTTTTTTAAATCTTGAGTCTGGCTTGGAAGTGAATCAAATCTATTAAATTTCACATTTATGTTAAAATGAAGCCTTTAAAAAATATACTTCTTTTCAAATTATATAATCTTAGATTATTATTTTAAAAATAAATTTTTACTTTAAGAGAGTAATCATAGAAAACTAATTCTGCAATATGTAGTATGTTAACAGTACATCTGTTACACAAATGAGACTAATAATTATGTGCGTTATGACACGGACTTTATCAATACTTTAGCAATTTCATAGACTTGAGGAAATATGTTTCAAAAAAAATACAATCCTGCACATTTACAGTACAAAATTAAAACTGTATTATTATTTACAAAGTCAAATTCAAAATAGATAAATAAGATTTTGTATATTTTATAATGCTATCGTTAAATATTTACATAGAATACAGGAAGACCTGTCCAAAATAGAACCTGAATAAAACAAGAAATTTTAAAGAACAGAACAATTTTTTATGTTAAAACCCATCCAACATGAAAACAGATGAGCTTTTTTGTTATGAAGAATATAATTTGATCTGGATAAAGTGGAAAATTACAATTCCATTCAGACAAATAAGTAAATTGTCTCCAGGTGTAAAACAGTCATTCCTTCAAACCTTTTCAGAGATGAAAATGAAAATCGTGACAAGGGGATGGACATAAGAATTTGGCGAGATTAAACAAGAGTAGAATCAAATATTTTTAAGAATTGAGAACTTTCAACAGAGTCCTTAGTAACTAACTAGTATGAAGTATTCAAAAACAAAAGTTGATTAGCATTATTGGTAATTATCTGATTGAAGTAAACAATTAATATTGATACATTAAAATTCCTTATGCCAGACCATAGAATAATTCTGTTTATGTGTTAATGTAACCAAACACTAAGACTCTTCTCTGATGGCAGAGAAAGATGCAAGTTTTTGATAGTTGAATTGACTTATTCACTCATAAGAATTGCATCAGAGGAGTATCCAAACACTTATCATGTTTTTATGGGAACAATGAAAACTTTTTGTGATCAAATAGTTCTCAATTCTTGCATTTGAATAATTCCATCTTTAGTCTGAATCACTTTGAATTAAACCTAGTAATGAAACTTTTTAAATTATGTTAAAGTAATTTATTTAAAAAAAAAATGAATATTTCAGGAATTTTCACTTAAATAAGAAAACATTTGTCAGATTTCAATCACATAATTTGTAATTAAAATGCACAATGCAGTTTTTCACACAAATTTTTGAAAATAGAAAATGAGTTACATGTCTAATGAACTTTCCCACAGACTAGTGGGAAAGTTCATTAGAAACGAGTTAACATGTTCAAACGATTGGTCAGAATATAGTAAAAAGTTTTGGGGCCAAGTTCCAAAAGCATGAGATGACAAATACACTAAATATAGTTTTCCTAAGTATTCTGTGCTGAAATGAGGATGCATCATATATGCTTATGCAACTTGTATTACAAGAAATGATCTTATAAAATCCTTCTGAAATGGGATATGATCTTCCATTAAAAAGTGTTCCCCACATATGCATTATCTATTCACTATAACTTTTGATTATGGATTGTAAATATGGGCATTTTTTTTAATAGAAAAAAAAATGCGACTTCTTACAATTGTGCATTTTTGTGTAACACACTAATACTTGTTCTAAATTATTTGTAAATGCATACACAATATATTATAGTTACAATACAGTTTTGAATTAATTCATTTTTTTTTACAACTAACATTACTTATAAAAAAATATGCAATTATACACAGAAATCTTGAAGAATACTAGCCATGAATTACCATGCAATCAAAGATGCATTTATATGAAATACAATTAACTTATGTACAGTACATACATTCATAAAAATTATTGTAAACTCACTCTCAATCGTTGCTATTCTAATCTAATATACAAAGATGTAAATAGAAAAAAAAAAAAAAATGTATCTTGAATGGTACCGGTATCATAGTTGTGTGTGGATAATCCACAAATTATTTATATTTAAAAGAGTTATTTGAAAATAGGTGCCAATTTTAAGTTGGAAATACAAACTCAAACACCTTTCTTTTGTTTAAAGTCACTAAAAGCATGAAAAAAAATCCTTGTATGTCATAGATATTCTTCAACCATTGCAACTTTTCCTGAAATCTCCAGATACATTATACATATAAACTGTGTGTGTATATTTCAACTATAAATAACAAAATGATACCAGTAACATCCAGCAAATAATATACTTTACTACATAATGATAAAAACAAACATTTTCAAAGATTTTTAAATCATCATCATCATCAGGTTAAAATAGCAGTCAAACACATATGAAGATTCAAATGTCACTTTAAACAAAATGAAATAATTATTTTCATTGGCAGCTTTTCAACAATCACATATCCAGATATTTTTTAAAAATAAGATTTAAAATTATAGGTGTAATTCAAACATGGACCTCTACACTTTAGAGAATGTCTTAGCATCTTGTAAAGTATATTATTGGCTGGATACTACTGGTGTATCATTTTGTTATTTATACTTAATTAAATCCAGTTTTTCAAGTATTGCATAGTTATTGTATATTTCATCTTTAATTTTCTCCCTTTATTTTCTTTTACATTCAATCCCTGCTTTAATTGATATTATTAAACACTTCTATTTGAATTTTTATCTTGAAAACATGTACATTTCTAGTAATTATCCTCTACCTACATAATAAAGTCATTTCACAGAAATCTGATGGTTAAGACACATGACAATTAAAATAATTACATAGATTTGAATGATAACCCTAGACTGACTGTGCAAATTTTTTGTTTTGTTTACACACAACAGCATTACTTTCCAACATTTTACTATGAAACAAAACTAAAGATGATGTCTTTATAATTTTGATTTTTTTGCTTCATTTTTTAAACTACGTAGTAGAAATCATTTTACATTACTTACAATGACATTTGCATAAAGTTTACATTATTAAAATGCATACTTTTTATGATATTATGTCAAACTTTATGGTTAATGCTATCTGAATCACTGCATAATTATTACATTCATTTGAATAATTTATCACATCTTTTATGCACATTGTGTTACATAAAGTAGCTTGTCAAATTTTATTTTTTTACTGATGAAAAACACATTTTTTTTCCATTATTCTAAATTTATTTTCTACAACACTACTCTGAAGGTTTATCATCATCATATAATTTATTCTCTCTCAAATCTCTCTTTTATCAATACACTTGTCATTTTCTGAATTTAATATAGAATGATAAGATGATGATAAATGATTATTATGCCATAATAATTTTGTTATTTCATCAAGTCAAATCCATACTGTTGTAAGATATTCTCTCTCTTCACTAAATCTAATAACTTAAAAATCAACATATAAGGAGAACTTGTAAAGTCTTTCCTAATTGTTTTTTCTCAAAAATCATATTCAGAAGTGAA